CTAATAACACTGTTTTTACTCAGATCAATGAAAACAGCAGTTTTCTAAGGATACTTTTAGTCAGACTTTATGTAAGAATCTCTCTCAGTCTTAGAAGTGACGGGCAAGGCTATCTGGCTCATCATCACCCATGGTAGAAGTTTGGTGTGTTCGTATCCAGCAGGGTTGGCTCTGAAGAAGAAACCTCAGTCGTTGGGGCTTTGGCTTTGATCGCAAAATAAAGCCATCCTTGACTTGGAATTGTTCTCGCTCCTCCCACTGAAGTCAAAGAAAGCTCTCCATTTTGCCCAAGAAATCAAGGTGGGGAGTGGAGAGCCGTGTTTTAGAACAGTCTGTGTATGAGCTTTCAGCCAGAGGTTTAGCGTGTGGGAAGGGAAGGGATTTTTGCCAAAGAGTCATGTGGTTCTGTTCTCTTTCTACCTACCAGACAAAACAGAACAGACAAACAATGAAGAAAATATTCAGACAAGAATAATATAAAGTGTCACCATTTACTTAAGTCCGTGTACACACACTGGTTGTAAGTTTTGTATTTAAGTAATCTATACACTCAGTGTGGGGCTCGAACTCATGACCCCAAGATCCAGAGTCACATGCTCTTCTCAATGAGCCAGCCAGCCACCCCATAGTAGCTTTTTAAAGCTATTACGCCACAATGCTTGATAGCTTATTCTAATAAAGAAGCATGTGATAAAGCCCATTTCCATGGTCTGCATTGTTTTTTTGTTTTGTTATTTAAATAATGGTTTTCCCAATAGAACTAGGTCTCTTTGCCTCTATTACAGTAGTCTTCCCCCCACCAAATGTCTGGTTTTGCTTTCCACAGTTTTAGTCACCTGTAAACCTGTAACCTAGAAGCACTGATCCTCCTTCTAATATATGGACAGAAGGTCATTAACAGACTAACACTCCGTGATCTTACTTCACCTCATCACTTGGGCATTTTATCATCTCACGTCATCAGCATGAGAAGGGTGGGTGCAGTACAATAAGATATTTTGAGAGAAAGACCGCATTCACCTAACTTTTATTACAGTATATTCTTACAATTGGCCTATTTTGTTATTAGTTCTTGTTCATCTCTTACCGTACCAACCTCATAAATGGGAATGTGTCACAGGCGTGTGTGTGTCTAGGAAACAACATAGCAGAAGTAAGGTTTGGTACTTTTGTGGTTTCAGGCAGCCTCCAGGGGCTCTTACAACATGTCCCTTGCAGATAAGGCGAGACTGCTGTGTATTGTAGTTGGCTTCGTGGAAACAGCAGATTAGCACAGACCACCTAATTCACGCAGGGGACCACAATTTGTTTAAACCAGATCTCTAGGCTACTGTGGCAAACAGTGGAAAGTTCTGATCCCCATCTGAGCTTCACGAGGAGAATCCTCGTTGAATTCTAGCACTCAACCCCTGGAAATAAAGAACGCCGTGGATGGTGTTTCTTATTGGGCAATGTGATTCTGAGCTGTTACTCACTGGGAAGAGCAAACTGGTTTTCACTTGCTGTGACAATGGATACGGATGTGTACATATTTATGTCTTTATTTTTTTAAGTTTATTTATTTTGAAAGAGAGGAAAGGAGCAAGCATCTCAGGCAGGCTCCGTGCTGTCAGTGCAGAGCTTGGCACAGGGCTCAGACTCCTGAATCGTGAGATGTTGACCAGGGCCAAAGTTGAGTCAGACTTAACTGACGGGGCCTCCCACAAGGTGCCCCCATGTCTGTATCTTTATATATATCACTAGTGAAATGGAGAAAGTGCTGACCTACAGTAGACAGTCAAAAAATGTCAGTCAGATCTTCACTACTCAGATGGGTGTATGGACTTTAAATTGCATTAAAAAAATGTTTTAAGGCCTAATGTGTAAAGCATTTGAGGAATAAATATTTCACTTGCCTTTTCCCTATTAGTTTTCCTGTTAAACTGTAGTCTTGGCACCACCATTAATCTTTATGAGATTCTGGTTTCCGATTAACTGAAGAATGATGGTATTCTCAGAGGGTCCAGTTACATGGAAATAGTTTTCTCCTGTTTCTCCTTTCCTTTGTTTTAATCAACTACGTTTGCCTAGCTTCCTCATTCCAAGTGCAAAATTCATTGGTGTCAGTGGAGACTAATTATATAGCAAATTATTTTTCTTAGCATTTTTCTCCTAAACTTTCCAGTAACCCCATCATTTTCTGTGCCTTATTTAACCACTCAGTTGTGTTGCTTTCTTTTGGTGGGAGGATAGGATGGGGAGTGCAGAGGAGAGGATGTGGATGGAGTATTTTTTTTTTAATTTCACTTTTCATTTTAGAGCAAGAGCAAGTCGGGGAGAGGGGCAGAGGAGAGAGAGAGAGAGAGAGAGAGAGAGAAAATCCCATGCAGGCTCCATGCTCAGAGCAGAGCCTGACATAGGACTCGATCCAATGACCCTGGGATCTAGAGTTGGATGCTCAACTGACTGAGCCCCCAGATGCCCCTAGGTGATGTATTCTTTAAGAGCCTCTTCTCTGTATAGCACTTCCCTCAGCTGTGATTTGGGTGGGTCTTTGAGGTCAAACCTTCTGATGAATGTTAGGAGTACTGGTTTTTTAGGGTGCTGATAAAGATTCATATGATTTAGAAACCTAAGTAGTAGGCAATGGCGTTCATTTCATGTCACAAAAAGGGAGGCTTTCCACTGGCCCCTCCTGGTTGAGAAAGCTCCTTGTCTCCACATCAGCCATAGCGATGCTTCTACATAATGGCAGAATTTTTTGCATGAGCCTTCACTGGATTTTTTCCAGCACGTGAACACTGCTTAATTGAATCTCCAGAATTCCACACCATAAGGAAGGGCAAAAACTATTCTGGCCTGGATATTTTTCAGGATGGGTATTATCGGTTGTGGCTGTGGCTTGAGAAAAATGGAGTGTTCCCATGGATCACTGGTTTTGAGCTACATTTTGAGCCTCAGAGAACTCCTACAGATGAATAAAGTACAAAATGCTTCCCTAGGTACCTCAATGGGTCAACGTGTTCTGTGGGTCATGGGATAGACCGATTGGATCTATATGAAACAGTGACTTTAATTTAAATTAGTTAATAGGTAGCCATTTTTTCCTAGTAGTAATTTGAATCAGGACCCAGGGTGTATAGAAGTTGCTTTTTACGATTTATATCGCCAGAAATGCAGATTAGGTTAATTTAATGTCTTTGCGATTACATCTCAACGTAATATCCTGGGACATGGGGGGGGGGAGGGAGAGCAGGTCTGCGAGATGCCAGTGATTGGGTATCTGCCCCATATCAGGTGGCACGCACCACTCAGATGACAGAGCACTGAAACCACACGCCGTGCCCGCAAGGTAGGTAATGGGTTTTCCGGTTTTACACACGAGGATGCAAAGGAACAACAGTTATGGAATGCCAAGGTCATGCACCTGGTAGATGGAGAAATTAAGCTTCAAATGCAGGTCTTTTAACCAAGCCTAGTTTTCTTTGTGATACTGGAACCCATGAGTAACACTAGAGAGCACTGCTCGACTTGACCGTGGACTTTGACATGTGTATGTCATCTCACAGGTCTGTGATCTGACCTGAAAACCTAGAGGATTGTTCAGCTCAGCCTTCTACCTTGAATTCCATGGCATGAGGCAATTTCTTCAGTAAAAAAATATTTTTAAGATTGGCTCCAAGATGGGCTTAAATTTGTGTCCAAGAATAGCCATCCTCTAGTCCCCTAACCCTTATCCCTGCTAATCCTGGGCCCGTGATCTCCTGCTTTCACCAGGCATCTGCAGCTGCCTCTCCGGGGTGGGGCGGAGGGGAGAGGAAGGGGAGGGAGGGGAGTGGGGAGAGAGAGAAGCCGGGGCAGGAGAGACCCTTATTGATATTTATTGTGATGAGTCAGTGCCCATGTCGCTCTAGGAGATTCCCCTCCATAACACTAGTGACTCCAAGGATTATGGGACTGGAGATGTCAGATACCCATGGTCATCTAGCTCAGTCTCTTGGTTTACAGATAAGAGAACTGAGATCTGGAGAGAGAGGTGGCTTGGCCAGTGTCACACAGAGCCCCTACGGTTGATGCTATTATCGTGTTGTGCAGAGATGTGTAGATGTCCGGGCACTTCTGTGTGGCTGATTTCATTTTCTCACAACATTCCCCATGAAGTATGCTTGTCGCATGTCACGTAGGGGTGAATAGTTCCCTTTTTTTTGTTCCATTATAGAGGGAACTTGGAGATTATGTAAGACAAACCAAAGTTTTCCAAAACCGATAGGGTCTATAATGCATTTTCCAAATGAGGAAACTAGTTCAGAAAGAGAAATGACTCGCCCAAAATATCGTGACCTTAGTAATCACTGAACTGTGTCTAGAGCCCAGGAAGTTTCTACACTTTGCATTTGGAGAAAAAGATCAGGCCTGGATGACCACATGATCCACCATGGTAGAAGTTCAGTTTTGAATGACACTGACATTTAATTCTTAGAGTTAAAAAAAATTTTTTTAGCATTATTTATTTTTGGGGGAGAGAGAGAGAGAGAGAGAGAGAGAGAGAGAGAGATCGTGAGCGGGGGAGGGGCAGAGAGAAAGGGAGACACAGAACCTGAAGCAGGCTCCAGGGACTGAACTGTCAGCACAGAGCCCGATGCAGGGCTTGAACCCATGAACCATGAGATCATGACCTGAGCCAGAGTCTGACACTTAACCGACTGAGCCACCTAGGCCCCCCTAATCCTGAGAGTTTTTAATGCTACTTTATATTCTTAACATGGCTGCATTTAGAAACATGTATGACTCTGCTAATGTTCTCAGTTTAGTGGGTTTGTGGATATTAAATCATCTGGCATGATAGGACATACAATATTTGCAAATGAGGCTAGGACTAGAAAGATTTTGCGAATTAAAAGAATACTACATGTACCTTTTTGCGTGTGCTGGTAAGTGAAAGATGAAAAGTTATCTTCATGGAAAGATACAACTTAAGAAGGCAATTTGCAAATAATACATTTCCAAAATTTGTTTTCCAGGATCTAGTTCAGGTTCAAAATTAAAAGGTCCTGAACTGAGTTTAAAAGGTACCCAGCACGTCATACAAGCAGGCCAGACACTGTATCTCAAGTGTAGGTAAGTGACTGTGTTGGTTTGGGGAAAAGCGGGGTGCCCTTCCCACGGCAGAATACTTCCCTGGCAGAGTAGAAAAGCGGGCTCTCGGAGAACAAAGGTGGGGACTTCAGGGGTCTCTCGTGGTCTGCAGAGTGCAAGCTACATGTTCCAGCTTCACGAGGAGAGACTCCCTCCTTCAAGGAGAACAGGGACGGGATGCCCCGAACCTTTTCTGCATCTTCTGAGTTGTTTAGAAGCTTTCTAAATGTGTTGTTTCTCTGTAACACAGAGGACTACATTTCAAGGCCCTCAGAACCGCACTTCGTAGTGAAATGGATGCATAAGGACCTGGTCCCAGCCCTGACCAGGTTGTGTTTTCTTGTCTGTGATTGCAGAGGGGAAGCAGCCCTTTCATGGTCTTTGCCTGAAACAGTGAGAAAGGAAAGCAAAAGGCTCAGCATAACTGAATCGGTCTGTGGAAGAAATGACAGACAGCTCTGCAGTACTTTGACCTTGAACATGGCTCAGGCAAACCACACCGGCTTCTATAGCTGCAAATATCTATCTACACCTGCTACAAAGAAGAAGAAAACAGAAGCTACAGTCTACGTATTTATTCATGGTAAGATTTCCGTTTTCTGCATTCTGTTTGTTATTGCTTTGGAGTAAGATATAAATTCACCCCGATCCCTTGGAAAGTGGGCGTCCCTAGTGATGAAGGACATGGACCAGGAAAGAGATTCTGCCCCGGAAACAGGTGGAATGCATTTTTGATGCATTTCTTGAGGGTCAGTTTCAACCAGTTTTCAAGGCCGGGTAGTCAATTTCGTGTTTCATTCAAGGAGGGACTCTTGTCTATTTCATTCAGCACCGTATCCATAGCGCCTAGAGTAGTGGATGGCTCATTGCACAGTTGGATGAATAAATGAATGCCAAGATTTTAGTTCCATTTCTTAATTATCTAGAAGGGTAAAATAGAATGTAATATTTTTTTTATCCTTTAACACAACTGTATTCTCTTCTATATCAGAATTATAAAATACTGTTCTTTCTACTAAATTATACATGTAATGTTGTTAATGTCCCTTGAATGTTGGTTCCAGTCGATGATGTTGAATTATTTCATGTTCATCAAGCGAGTGTTCTAACATAAGAGCTGGCATGTATCCTTCCATAGTAGAAGGGGCAAAAGGCAAAAATGAATTGTTTTTCAATGATAATTTCTATGGTACTGTTTTTCACTCCTCGGAGAACAAACCGGTGAAGTGATATTCAGAGGTGAGAAAATGCAAAATCCTTTAAGAAATAGACGTTGATGGTAGAAATGGGTCCCTGAGAAAGAAGGAAAACGACCCATCTTTTTGGTCTTCCTTGCTTAGTTCCAGCCAATTTCCAAAACTTGTTGAGTGGGATTTTAAAAAATAACAAAAAACCCCCAAGACTCTAGAGAACATAAGACAAAATCAGTAGGCATCAGATAACAAAATCAGGTTAAAAAACAGAACAAGCCACCCTTGCTGTCCATAGTCTAAATACACATGGTGGGTCTGCCTTGTGGGAGACCGCACTGGAGGGGGTTTCGGTGGGATTCTTCTTTTAAGTTTTGAAATGAGGCACCTAGACAGTGTTTTACCAAGCATAACATGAAATCATCCAGATTCAGAACTAGTTTGAGGAGACAGCAGAACAAACAATTGTATGATACCGCCGGTAACGTCTTTCTACCTTTGATCAGCCTGATGTAGACCGAGCTGCTTTTCTGTTCCTGTTTTTACATGTTGCACATTTCCAGGAGGAGAGATAACAACTTACTAGCAGTTTGCCATGGCAGGAATGCAGCCACTGTAGTTCAAAGTAAGAGGGGGAGTAGGCCAGGGATCTTGGCTTGGGGAAGTCAGCCCACTTCCCACAGGAGGGACGGGAGGGTGGTGGGCAGGAATTGTAGAAGGGGGGAGAGGTGCCGAGCAGGGACAGAGACCTCCAGGGAGGTAATTTTGCAGCTCATGGAAAAAGCAGACACAACCTCTGATGGTGGTGCGGAAAGTCCTATACTCGACCGTATGTTCTCTTTTGCTAATTCCATAGCCTGTTATGTCCTTTCTGGCACTTGCGGAGGAAAGAGAACACTTTTGCTCCCATCTCTCCAGGGGGATGGGGGAAGATTCATTCATACTAAAATTCTCATAAGAAACCTTTTCTCCTGTGGGTTTATCAGAGTCTGACTTGCCAGTCAAATACTTAAAAGTGTAAAAAGAAACAAACAAACGAGCAAAAACCCAAAAACATCTTTTATGTTTTTCCTAAAAAATAGTGTTCAGCTATTTTCACTTTGACCTCCTTCACGCCTATTAAACGGCACTCTCAATAGTAACACCGGTTTTGTGGGCTTCCCTGATGGTGATGTTGATCTCATAACACACTTTATTGAAGCCCAAGATAGCTGGGATATAATTTATTAAGCAATTGTAATCTTTTCCAAAGAGCGTAACATTGTATGCATGTCCTATTTTCACTTTTTTTTTTTTTTTTTGGTCAATTCCTTTGGAAAACAGTGTGGTCTTATGCCTCCCATGTTAACAGAATACATACTACGCTTCAGATTTAGTTTCACTGTGGGGCCCAAAACTTATCTCTGAGGACTCAGCATCATCTCTGTGATTAATAGCACTCCAGCCAGTTCCCGATACACAGAAGTAGTTACTCACCAGTTGTTCCCTGGATATCACGTATTTACTATTGTTGAATACTCACTGTAGAGTACTTATTCTGGCTGGAGGGTTTCTGTCCTGATAAGCCTCTGCAGATGTATTGGTGCTTCAGTTTGATTTCTAGAAAGATGAGAAACCATGTTAGACAAATGGTTTGAAAAAGATTTTGTAGTCTGATAGGGTGCTCAGAAAAAGAATCAGGGCTGTGTAGCATGTGAGTCATAACCGGACCATTACGTAGACATCATCGATGGCCTGCCGTGTAATAGGCACACATCCCCCCTGAGCACTGGTTCACACATCACATCTGATGAGCAACAGAAAAGTCAACGTCACCACTTTACAGCTTGTGTAACCACCCCCCCAAGCCTCTGACATAATACATTACATCAATTTAATTATTTGAGTAATTAAATTTAACTGCCTTAATTAGTGAATTGTCTGGTAAATTACAATTTCCTTTAACACAGTGACTTGTTACATTTGTATTTTTTTTTTGTTTGTTTAAACACATGGGTGTGCTTGCATCATGTCTTTTTGTTCTCGCCACCACCCCTTGTTGCACTGCTCTTCTTTTTCCAAGGGAAGGACCTAGGATACACTTCACGTTGAGGCTTCGTGGGGGAGCAGCAGGGAAAGTATTAGCAGCAGAGGAGGGGAGTCAGATTTTTCCCTTCAGAGTCTCAGAGGTGGGAGGATGTCTCGAGATGGCAAGACAGAGGCGGGAAGACCAGGGAAGGGGTTGTTATGTGCGTTGAGGCAGGAGAGGATGGCCCTATGTCACTCTGGCAGCCATGGGGAAACAGAGATATTGGTGGGTTGGAGGGATTCATTTGACCTTGGTGAGTGCTTGGGCCATGGAGCGGTGAGGGTCAGCCATCAGAGACACTCGGATTTCTGGAGGGGACCTGGGCACCTTGTTCCAGGATCCATATTCAAGCAGAGCTTTGTCTCACTAAATTATGCCCACGTGAAGACCATCATCCTCTTCTCCTGATGTTCCCTGGGCTTGGTCTCGATAAACTGGCTGTTGAGTGGCAGTAGCTGAAAGACACCATCTATATTTTAAACAGTCGCTTCTGCAACATGAATGGGTTCCGCCCCCCCGCCCCCCACCATAGTCATAGCTACAAAATTCTGGGTCATAAAGAAAAGCAAATTGTAAGGCGCTCCTTAATGCTTTGCTACTTGCAAAATAAGATTTCTAGATGAATAGCAATGTAAGGGCTATGTAGGTGGTATTCAGCCCCTTTGCAGAGAAGAAGGAATGCATTTGCACCGCTTTCCTGCCCCTCTGGTGTACGTAAGAGATTGGCTCTGGCTCAGCCTTTCCTAAAAGGAGGATTTTATTGAAACTATTATTATTGTAATATATGAGTTGTGGCCATAAAGTAAGAAAATGGAGTAGAAGATTTTAATGGCATCTCTGAAGTATGTAATATTTTGTCAGTGTCTCTGGTTAGTTAGGAAGACCTTGAACTTAGCATGCTGAGCTCCCTGCACTGTGAAGTCAGCCTGAATTCCTTCTCTCTCCACAACCGAGCCTTTTCAGGCTGTTTAAGAGTAACATCTTCTGTTGAAAAATTATAATTGAAAAGGGGGGGATTGGACATGTGTGTGTTATCTGTTGGGTGAGTACCTCCCACCTCTTCCCTGTAAAAGAAACTCATCTTCTTTTTCTTCCTGCTTCCTTTACCTGATTGTTTTTCTCTCTGAGACTAGGAAAGCAAACCAGAAAATTTTCATAACAGATTTTTTCTCCCTTGGTTCTCTACTGTATGTAAGACGCATGAGATGTGTATAGCAGCTTAATTTCAGGTTAAAAAAATTTTTGTCAGACACACTGGGTACATTATTGAAAAGTAGTAGAGGTTCTAATAACTCAGATATTCCAGGAGAGATGGGCTGCCTGGCTGGCTCAGTCAGTGGAGCATGTGACTTGCTCTTGGAGTCATGAGTTCAAACCCCATGTTGGGCATAGAGATTACTTAAAAGCATTTTCCAGATATTCTGGGAGAGAATAATCCTCACGCTTTGCATAAAATGAGAAGAAGCTCTATCTGGCTATGGGACCTCCAGCAAATAAAAATACTGATGGCACAGATATTCTGAGAAGGGTCCAATGTACTCATTTGTTTTTGTTTTTATTTTTTAAATGTTTTTTATTTTTGAGAGAGACAGAGCATGAGCAGGGAAGGGGCAGAGGGAGAGGGAGACACAGAATTGGAAGCAGGCTCCAGGCTCTGAGCTGTCAGCACAGAGCCTGACGCAGAGCTCGAACCCATGAACCATGAGATCATGACGTGAGCCGAGATCAAGAGCCAGATGCCTAACTGATAGAGCCGCCCAGGTGGTCCCCATTTGTTATTTTTTTAAGTTTATTTATTTTAGTTTTGAGAGAGAGTGAGGGGAGGGGTGTGAAGAGAGGGAAACAGAGAATCTAAAGCAGGCTCCATCCTGTCCGTGTGGAGCCTGATGCAGAACACAGGGCTCAAAGTCACAAACCCAGAGATCATGACCTGAGCCGAAGCCAGGATGCTTAACCGACTGATTCACCAGGGCGCCCCCCCCCCCATGTACTCATTTGTACAGCACTCCAGAGTCTCCTGAAGAGCTTTTACATAATTATCTCTGAGATAAACTATGTTGGTATGATTCCTTCCCTTTTCTGTATGAGAGAGCAGCCTCAGTGACCTTCGTAAGACAAAACTCATGAAATGACAAGCCCGGAGGAGGACCCAGGTCATCCCTAGTTATTTTCCCTACACTGGAGTTTCAGCTGCTGACTTCAGACAAAACTAATGGTTATTTTAACCTTTGAGTACATGGATTATATAGTAATTAAAAATTTTTAAATTTCAAATTTGGTTTCTTTTTCTCTCGAGGAATGATTTGTTACGCTGGTTTCGGAATG